TCCTAACAGAACACTGCACTCTAAAGCACCACTTGGCGAAACTAGGGATAGATACTAATACTAGTTGTAGATGCTGTGAAATTGATGAAGAGTTGGCAATGCATATACTTTCAAATTGTCCTGCATTAATGCACAAAAGAAGACAAGTGTTAGGAACAGAAATGTTACAGATTGAAGAGCTTATAGACTCGTTGAAATAGGAATTATACTATGGTTTAACGAGGTAATCGGACTTAAAGAAATACTCTAGCTCCAGTAAGGGCACAGTAGACCCTAAGATCGCAGTATGCACACCCACATAATAATAATAATTAGAGCCAATATATCCCACATGTACCTGGTTTCAAATAATGGATGGCAATGGTCATATGTACCGAAATATCTACACAGTGCTCTAACTAACAATATTAGATTTTAGATATTAATAGATTCAATTGATAGGTTACATTTTCATTATAAATGTGTTTTCTACATACATATATAAGACATATTTATCTCAGCAAGTAGTATACGTATATCTGGATTATATTTTTTATTTTGTAATAGTTAAAAATAGTACATTTTGTAGACTCTATTCTAGGTACTTATGAAATACGTAGAAAAAGCATTTTTCGCATATTTTCTTAATGTACCTTAAACAATTAGTAAAGTCTTCAAACAAAGTAATTAAAAATAAATTTCATTCATAATAGAATCATTAAAAAAAAAATAAAAAATTAAAGGAAAAACTACATACTATAATAATTTGTTGAAAAATATGCTATTTCCTTTCAATATTTTATAAAATTTGGCTCTTTGAATTTTGTTATTATTTCATTTAAATAAATTTAAATTTAGAAAAGTTGTTTATTTTTTATTTTTGGTTAATAGAGAAAAACACTAAATTTTGCGCAAAAAGTTTTTATTTTTTATATAAAAAGTGTATTTGCTTTCCGGAACATACGAAAAAGATTTCATTCACAAAAATTCCTTATGGATTTTAGACAAAAACTGACTGGCATACACATTTGTGTGGGCATTTGAATAGAAATAATGCTCAGAATATTACTTACAGAATAATCTGTATCTGAAATGAAAAACAACAAACTCAACAAACGAAATATAAATCAAAATAATATTTACGAATGAGTAAGTTTTCAAAACAAATTCATAGATTTTGAAATGAAAGCATTATGTGTTTACATTATAATTTTGATTGACATTTATTTTTAATATAAGCTTAATTATAGTCAGATATGACTAGAGTATATATTGTATATATAGTGCATATGTTCAAATAAATTGTGAATAAAAAACAATCATATAGTCTTTTAAGATTCATATACATTATAAATTTTATAATGTCTTTATTAAATAATTTATTATTTATAGACAAAAAGACCACTCAGAAGATAGATGACGTGAATAATGACGAATAGAGCCATGGCGTTTAAAATCATTTGTTAACTTAGTTGTGAAACCTCAGACTTAAAAGAATCTAAATTACAAAAACCAATTTTTATAATTCACAATAATTTTATAATTTAAAATAATTTTACTATAATCAATAATTATAATTTACACTAATTAAATCATATACGTTCGTAAATAGGAATTTTTAAAAATAAGTACTTGCAGTGAAGTGAGGACATCTGTGAGTTACATGTACATATAAGGTATATTCTTCATTTATGTTCTGTTAGAATTCCATTACATTTCCACAAATAAAAGACAAATTATTTCTTCTAAAATTACAGTATGTATAAATAATATGTATGTGATTATATCCTCTCCCTAAGTACTAGAGCACAGAGCCTCCTTTGTTATCAGTTAAAACCGGACCATGTTATGGAAATATATAAGGGTGAAATTGCAAAGTTTGAGACGCTGATCATGACCTAGAAAGTCTACTTAGAAGATACAAATCCAAGTGGCAGTATATTTGTTTTATGTCCACATAAATAATAACAATAACAAAGCCAATTATTGGTATTTATTGTTTATTCCATAGTAGAGTTCATGAGCGGTTTACGCGATTTAAGAACAGTCAGATTTACCCAAGCGAAATCAGTGTTCATTAGAGATTCCACCAAAACTATATAAGAATTTGTTACAGATCAGCCGAAAACTTTATTGAAATTAATAAAATTGGAGTTAAACATATCAAAAAAATTAATTTAACCTATTATGATCAAAAACCCAAGCACACAAAAATTGGACTGACAACCAAAATCCCATTTTCTTTCTCTCATATGATTTTGCATTTTGCAACTTTTATCTTTTTTGAAAGAAGGATTTGCGGATGAAAGGAAAGGATATTGTTGTGTATATAGTAGTTATCGAAAAGGCTTTTACCGACATTCTGTTCAATATTGCCAATGACGATCCAAAATATTTATTTGATACGTTTTTAGACCAACGTGTACATTGACTTCCTGTATTAAGTTAGATAAGGAATATAGATAAGGACTATGACATATTCATTTGATAAGTTTTTACACCGACATGACACTGTATTAAATCAGAAGAGAACTATTTTAAACATAATAAATCGGTTTTTCCAATGAAACTTTTCATTCTATATAAGAAGTTCTGTTTACTTTATATAGCATATTGTAGATTTCGGTTTGTTTGAATTGAGAGGGGTATAAAACAAGGGCAAAAATAGTAGCAACCATAAGAAGTAATAGAAAATCATCGAGATTGGAGAATAAACTTCCAATTACAATAATTTTGAGATCGAGTACAGAAAGAGTATGTAGAATGTTTACGACATTACTACTCAACAAAAAGCAAACATTAAATTATATAAAATCTTATGATTGATTAGTATATATTTCTTATTTTATTTTAATATATACATATTATATATTTATTCAATATATTTATATAAATGTTAAAAGAAAAATTTAATATTTGCTACTAGTACCTTTCAAATGCTTATAACAAATACTATACTAAATATAAAAATAAAATAACATGAATATATTAGTTGCAATTTTCTAAAGGGCAATAGTTTAATCTTGTAATACATATATAAATAAGCATATATGTGAATCATCTATGTCATTTCTGTTATTTATAATTTACGTCATTTGGTGCTATAGTTACTCATACCAAAACTTAGTCGTCGTCCATTTATATATTTACTCTACTTTGTCTTTCTTTGGCTTTGTTCAAATGTTTGCCAATGTAATATTAAAATAGTATTGAAAATAAAACCGAACCAAAGGCAGAAGATAATATGTGGCACTAAATATAGAATTTGTCCCAATTGATGAAATTAGAGTAGTTGTTGGCTGCACTGTCAAGACTGTGTTGCTTCTTTGGCCTTTATTGGCATTGTTGTCGTTGATATGTGTTTAATGGATTTTGTGCAAAGATGCATTTTGTATATAATAATTTTAACATTTTTTTTTATCAATTTCAATTAAAAATAAGTAAAGGAATTTATTTTAAGAACGGCTAGTAAAAATGTATGTAACTGTAAAGGAACAACAAAGCAACAATTGTTAACATTAATAAAAATAATAATCAATATTTTATAATAAATGGAATAACAGTATAATTATAGTATATAGTTCACATAGTATAAATGTGTGTGTGAACGTATCTTCTTAGTAGAGTTAGTTCATCTCATATATATGTACTTTGGAATAACAATAGTAAAAAACCCACTAATTTCTCATGCTATTTAGTCATGGATGCTAGGTTAAAGTTCAGTTCTAATAAAGTAAAATAAAAATAATAATAATTTTTGTATAATGAGATTAAAAGCAATTTAAAGAGTAACTTGAAATTCACTTTAATATAAAAGTTTAAGGGGCAACCTTTTTAGTTATTTTATTTGTTTTTATGTTTTTATATATTTATTAAAAATTGAATATTATTGTTTTTGTTATAGTGAACAATTTGAAAAAGAGTATTACCTTCACATTAATTAGTTAATCCACTGATATATGTTTATATTTATCACTTTTGAGCGATCAATAAATACCATGCACCAAAAATAAGAGGTTTCCTACAGTTTTTATTAACGGCCTACAGTTTCATTAGTTCTTAAAAACATAACAAATAGAAAATATAGAACCGATACAAAAAAGTTTCTCACCTTAAAAGATTTGTTCTTATTTTTTACTTAATAGGACCTTATGCCCACTATTAGTAATCAATCATTCAATAGATAACTCTAAATAGTTAGAACTAAATAGTTCTGTTTTCCTTACCTCGCTAACTACCTTTCTCTCTGTATTCCTATCATTCCTTTTCTTTCTTTATCTATTTATCTCTGCTCCTTTTTCTCTCTATTTATGAATCTCCTGTCCTTTTTTCTGTTAATCTGTCTATCTCTGTCTCTATTTCTATCTATCTTTGTCATTATATCTATCTATATCGGTCTCTATTTCTATTTATCTTTGTCATCTAACTTTCTCCTACACTGTTTGTCTTTTTCTCTTTGTTTCTTTATCTATAACTTTGTTAACATTATATTGTGTTATTATTTGTTACAGAAAAGAAATAGAAAAAGAGGAAGACGAATAAAAAAAAAGAGAAGGAAAAGGTTTGTTTGTACGTAATAAAGGGAAATCATTGAAGAAAAATCTGCTTCTTAAGAAGCTTCCATTATTTTGCTAACATAAGTATTATTTTCAAAAATAATAATCTAATATAAAATAATAATATTATAATATAGAATAATAATATTATAATATAAAATAATATTA